AAACGTTTTGATCACAATTTATGTAAACACATATTTCCAAGGCACTCCTTTATAATTATTGGGATAAAACAGGTTTGAAATCATTCCAATGTATACTATAGGACAGTAAACCAGACATATCGTTTTAAACTGGAGATAAAAAAATATGCATAAATAAAATAGTAAAATAAGATACGTTACATGTATTTGTTATTGGCTATGGTAGGTTATTGGTTATGTTCACATACTTATTTAATTATTAAAAATGTAAACCGATCTTTTTCATATGGGTGTTTAGAGTTGTACCCCCTAGATCTAGTCTCTAGTAATTCTGCTTAAAGTGCACCAGATTGAAGCATTTTACTTTAAAATCTCCAAACATTTCTTCCCGGTATGCCTGAGAAGGCAGATATGCTTGTTTTTCTCAACAAGAACTGGTTTTTAAATGGGGGGGGTTCCTTTAAAAGTTGGACTGTTGCACTGTTGTAGCTTCAGTGGTTCTCAGGTTACAGTTACATAGCAGTGAATATAAACAGACTGATTAATGTGAATATTACTGTAATCTAACCTGTGTAAAAGTTTCTCGAATACATTTAATTTTTTTGGTGGAAGAAGCATGTATAATTTTTTTACCCTGCCCCTCAAAGAATCGGAATTGAGAACCGTTAAGAACCGGAATCGAAAAGTAGAATCGGAATCAGAATCGTGGAAATTCAAACGATACCCAACCCTATTTATAATACATATATATATATACAATTACCCATTAATGGAGTTAAACAGCTTCTTATACTCCTCCATTGGCTGGTTAATCCTTTAGACAAGAAAATGAAAGGTTAAAGGTTTCAGTTCACAATGCTGTATAAACAGGATGTTGCAAAGCTTTTCCGCAATGAAAAAATAAGTGATTAAATTAGTAATATAATAACTCACATGACAGGTACAACCCTTGCTCCTGCGGACTCCAGGAACTTAACATAAGAGGCAGCAATGTAAGCAGTTTGATTTGGCTTTTGCTCAAGAAGAACTTCTTGAGCAAGGACACCTTTTGAGAGGAAAAACAGCAGTTTAGGTACACGACCATTTTAAAAATCAACTCCAACGGTCTTTCGAAAGTAACGTACGCTAATGTCCTCAACATATGGTTCACGTAATGTTAGCTTAACTTAATGTCACAGTTGATAACATGTATGTAAACTTACCAATGATGGGTCTTTCATTTATCTTGGCTGAAGAATAAAACGGTAGACACGAAAGACACATGAAAAACAACGACAAAATCATTATTCTAAAAGGTGAAACCTGCTTTAGCAGTCACAACTATCGCCATTCCGCTGCGTTATCAATTACACTTCCGGGCTACGGTACCTCCTTCAGAATAAAAGCATCATGTTTGGCCTCAAATAACCTCGTTGACTGATTTATTTTCACAAGCAAATAAACAAACAAAAAAATACCAAGGCTTTATTTATAACTTTATTTGAAAGTCGACACATGGAAAGGGCAGTATTTTACCATTAAAGCCCAACGTGACATGATATACACTACAGTGTGTCACATTTCAGATATTTGAGACTAGGTGGGATTACTTGTCAGAAATGTGTTTTAGGTGGTCTAAAATATGTTCCCCTTAATTTTCCCAAAAGTAGAAATGGGTCCGGGTTCTTATGGGTTAAGATTCCAGGCATATTTTTATTGAATTAGTAACAAAAAATTGCGGATGTGCAATAATTTTTGCGCATTTGGGCCCCTTCTATCTATCTCTCTATCTAAAAACACTACAAAAGGAAATGTGTTTTCATTTCATATCACATATTAAATGAAAGACGATGACCAATGTTCACTTAACAAAAATAAACATGCAGGTTATGTCCAGTGACCTCACATTGCAGCCTGTAATAACACTGTTTTAAAAATCAAACAACCACATACGAACATAGCACTATCTGAGCTAAATACATAAAGCTATATCTGTTTTTCATTTATAAATAATTATCTTTTAATTCAGCCGTGCGAGCAGGGCTGGTTTTTGGCATCGACGCTCATTCCTAAATCTGCCTTGATGTAACACATTTACATTAATAATTAAATAAAGGAAACACCTTTTTCACCCCGGTTCAATTTTGCATTTGCCCTGTACGTTGTAAGTGATGACAGTGGTGGATGGTGGCTTATCCGGTGCCCGAAGCTTATCAGCCGCCCGCAGCTCACAGCTCGAGCTGAAAGTGGAGATACCATCACAGCCCCCCCTCTTAAGACAGGGCCCCAAAGGGGTCCACGACAACCCAACATCCTTCTTCTCAACTCCAGCTTTTATGTCCCACTCCTCCTTGGGTTGGCTGGCGTCGAGCCACAGCATGTAGGCGCTCATCGGCCCCTTGGGCGCACCGACCTCCTCTTCTTCGGCCTCCTCTTCTTTGCGGGGTTTCCTCTCTTTCTTCTCCTTCACCACTGGAGACACACTTGGAAATTGCAAACCGCTCTCATCTGGCTCTGCAGATGCCAACGGCCTGGAAACCACCACAGGCGGTGGCACACCTGCCCACACAGCACTACCAGCAAGATCGTTGCCCAAAATCATCTGTAGCCCATCAAGTGGCAAAGCGGGACGCACACCGATAGACACAACTCCCCGTACCAGCCCACAATCCAGCACTACTGTATGACGTCGCACAGGAATCAAGCCTATCTCCATTCCCCTCATCAGCACAAAATCCCCAGTCTCTGTCTGACGAAAAAAGGCAACACTGACTCAACAATAAATGAGTATCTAGCTGCTGTATCACGCAACACCTTAATCGGAACATACTTGTCACGACCAACTACTGACACAACGGCTTCCGTTATGAACGGCCCAAAAACAGGACCCACATCCAAATTGGCACAAACCAGCTTCTTATCAGGCACCATGCCCGATCCTACACCCTGCGGCTTTTTAACCAAAACGGCAGAACAATACATGGCTGGAGCATGTGATGAAGAACGAGGCTTCCCCTCAGGTTCCAGCAACGGACACTGCTCCCTCCAATGACCCTCTTCTCGGCAATAATGACATTGGTCCACTCTGGCATCCTGGGATCGCCCCGGACCTGCAAATCTACGGGAGGAGCCTGGTGAAAACTTTGCACTACAGCGGGAATAGCCACCATCTTCTCCACGTCTCCAATCACCCCTAGACCACTTCTCAGTAAAACTGCCCTTATGTGTCAACACAAAATCATCCGCTAATTCAGCAGCTCTAAGCGCGGTGGAAGGTTTCTGCTAATTTACATAAGTGGCCACACGCTGAGGGATAACCTCTTTAAATTGTTCCAATACAATGAGTTCACAAAGACCGTCAAAACTGGCAACCTTTGCTGCCGCGCACCACCGCTGAAAATGAGAAGTCAAATCACGGACAAACTCCACGTGTGTCTGCTTATCCCCCTTGACCCAACTTCTGAACTTTTGACGATACGCCTCAGGAACCAGTTCGTATGACTTTAACACTGCTGATTTTACTCTAGCATAGTCCAAAGCATTTTCGCCACAAACAGCTGAATAGGCCTCCTGTGCTCGCCCAGTAAGTACACACTGAAGTAACAGCACTTTGTCCGAATCTGACCAGTTTCTTGCCTCTGCTATGCGTTCAAATAGAGTAAAATATCAGGGTCACGCTCATTGAACTTTGGCACTAACCGCAAGTAAGAGATAATATCGCCATTACCTGATGCCGACCTATCAGACCCATCCTCCACCGGAGCAAGCTTGCCCTCTCCAATCAGCCGTAATCTAGCATATTCCACCTCACATTTCATCTTTTCCACCTCCAGCACCCCCTCACATTTCATCTTTTCCACCTCCAGCACCCCCTCACGTTTCATCTTTTCCACCTCCATCCTCAACTTCTCCAACCCCAACCCCAACTCTACCTCCTGCTGCTTAAATTGCATGGCCAAAAGCTCCTTTTGCTGCTCGAACGTCAAACCAGCTGTCTGAACCACTACCGGCATGACCCCTGCCGCACCAGACTCACTCTTCTGCAACACTCCCTAATCAAACAAAGATGACACGATGACAGCTTTAATCTCATCTTTCCGCTTGCTCCCTACAACAGCAATGTTATAATGCTCTGCTATTTCGATCAACTGCGCCTTCCGGCAATCATCTAAGAAAGACACTGAGGGCGCATCCACAAACGCCAACAAAGAAGCCATAATATATTGCCTATACCCAATCAGAAAGCAAAGTAATAAACTGTCAACACGCATGGGCAAAAGACAAAACCCAACAGAGAATTTTCCCCCTAACTGCCTAACCAAAATCTTACTAATCACTCACCTAGTCTTCATGTGGCTTGCGGCGGGTAATTACGCACTGGAACCCGGCGGATTTATGTAGCGACCTGTCCGAAAACAGCTGACACTAACCACGTCGCCACAACAATATGGAAAAAAAAAAACAGACGCAACCCAAGGGGAAACGCCACTTAAAGTGGACCTATCATGCTATATTTGAATAATATAGTGTAGGACCATACCTACATAAGGCATATTTATACTTTTTATTTTTCAAAATACCAAACAGATCATGCATTTTAGCCATTCCTCATTTCGCTCAATTTAACACTGTCTTTGCATGGGCTGATTCTGTGAGAACAGCACCATCTACAGGCCTGAAATATGTACTACAGCGTCTC